ATACAAGTCCCCTGATACCAAATACCAACATTTTACAAATGCATTCGCATATAAATATATGGTAACAAATGAAAACCCCACTTTAAGTCGATTAATTATTTGTGATGCTGCTGCAAAAGAATGGAAGAATATTAAAAAAATGAAAGAACCCGAAATTGATGATATTATAAAAAGGTACTTAGCAACGCCTCTTAAAATGCAAGAATATTTCCAGACCACAGCTTCATCTCGACCAAAGCCCTTTGAAATTTCTATAGTTAATTCGTCTCAAGATAATACTTTGCGGATCTCACAAACATTTGATGTAGAGGAAATTCGTAGTAATGTGTCAGCTCAAAAAAAGGCAGCTAGTTCTAAAATAGATGTAGAAAAAAAAATTAAAGAACTGGAAGCTGTATATAACTTTACTACTGATTTGCAGCTCCGTCACGATTTACATGCTAGGATCATAAACCTCAAATCTGAACTTAAGGAATATGAACAAAAACTACATAATCTAAAAAGAAATGCCGAATACCAAGCTAAATGCCGATCCAAAAAAATTAAGGCATTAGAAGAAGAACAAGTGGTAATTCGATATGATGCACCTGGAAAACCGTCAATTTTGCTTCAGAATCCAGAATTACTCGATCATATCCATAATTCAGTAGAGTATGGATCAGCTGATGCACGTAGACGCAAAGAAGGTATTAAAGTAAGGATCATAAAACACTTACGAGATAACCTTGAAAATAATTATAGAATATATATGGCCAGAACAACTTTAAATAATTACCTTTTGCCCCGCCAATCAAACTCAATTGCTGCTAAAGCTCACCATCATCCGGCCTGGATAGCTGTGGCTGGTGTTTCCCGTAATGAAACAAAAGAACATATTGATGGACACTATTGTCTTGCCTCAGTTAAAGGAGTAAGACAATTTGCACATGCCTTTCCAAATGTTTCTGTAATCATCTCTCAGGATGATAAAGCAAAAATAGGTCTAGGAATACCAGCAGTTGGTAGAACATTTCGCACTTTACAGTCTGTATCTGAACCGGTTCAACTACCCGACCATGACTTTGCATGTGGAAGTAGCCAAAAACTTATTCCATCTGTTTATCTTATAATTAAACCAAATGAAGAAAGTGATGACCTTCAAACAGGACAAGTAGTAATTTTTGTTAGACCCCAGTGGTCAATTGGCACATCATCTGTTACTCACATGAAAGATCTTATTTCTCTTGCATCAAATAATCAATATTCAGATGCCCTAAAAACAAATAATAAGATAAAGCCGATTTGGTTTTTGTTAGTTGATGGGGGTCCTGACGAGAACCCTAGGCATTTTAAAAACATTGAGTCGTATTGTAAGTTGTTTAAACAATTTGATCTAGATTATTTGACTATACGAACTCATGCCCCAGGACAATCAAAATATAATCCAGTTGAGAGAGGTATGGCGACACTTTCAGGAAAGTTAGCTGGGATCATCTTGCCGATAGATCATTTTGGAAAGCATCTTAATAGCCAGGGCAATGTTATTGATACTAACCTAGCAGCTCAAAATTTCAATTATGCTAGAACAATGTTGTGTGATATATGGCATCGTGATCCTATTTTTGGAAAGCATGTAAATGCAACATATATTGATAAAGCCACTGATCCGTTTGTGAATCTTGAATTTACTTTCAAAAATAAAAAAGAAAAAGAATATAATAAGAAAAAACAAACAAATGAAAAACAAAATAATGAAAAGAATGACATATCTTGTATTTCCATTCCATGGAATTGGATTGAAAAGCATTGTAATTTATGTCAGTATTCGCTTGATATTAAACGCTGTATGGATTTAGATTGCTGCGGACCTCCCAGAGCACCAGAATTTACAGAATTTCTTCAAATTTCTAACGGTTTTTTTCCACCTGTTACCAAAGCCAAAGATGGTCATTATATAAACCCTGTCCATCTTCTTCAGTATTCTAAACAGCTTAAAGTTCCTAAATATGATGAACATTGCCCATCTATTAAAACAATGTATTCTCGGCTTTGTTGTCCAGTTTGTTACAAATATTTTCCAACCTTGGCTTATATTACAAAGCACAAACATGAAATGCATCCATCTGCCCGGGGAAGACCTAAAAAAAACCAGCCAGGAAGCACAGAATCTGTAGTAGAAGCTATAGTAATTACTAATGCTATAACTTTAGAAGATTTTAGTATACTCCCTTCACAAAAAAACAAAGATTATGATTTTTCGATTAACAATTCCAGAGAATGCTTTTCTGATATAGAAGTTTAATGAACATAAAAAATAGTCTAACTGGTTTATATTTTTACCCAGATTCTCTATATTAGATCACAATTTTGTACTACTAAGAGTAATATTGCATAAGAATAAAATCAGCTATATATAAGAAAAACGAGTATCAAATTTTAGTCAACTTGAAGCTTGCCTGTAAAATGAATTAAAAATTTTGTAGCGTAATAAATAACAAATATAAATGATGTATTGTACAGTCAACTTTGCTTATACCAAATCCTTGGTTTAAAAGTTCATGTCTATAAACCGAACTTCTTAACAAAATTTATAAATGCTTTAACGCTTTGTGTTCTGTTCCCATAGAGTTTATTAAATATTCGGCTGTCTAGTTTTGGTTTAGAGAAGATAACTATATAGCTAAGAATTGGTGTGGAACTGAAACCGGACCAAGGTTAAAGTTAAAATATTAATGAACTTGTCTTATCAGAGATCAGAGCAGATTGAACCGTAGGGATGCTAACAGTCCTGCCTGGCCTAGCCTGATCTATTTAGTCCAGTTCTGGTTCACTTTTAATGGTTCAAAGTCTCAAGAATTAACTAGTTCGGACTAGCCCTAGCTAGTCTGATCTTAAAATTAAGAAATTTTTTTCAGTTCCAGTCGGTTTTAAAACTAATTGTAGTTTATCAGTTTAGAATAGACTACGTATATAACATTCCTGTTGATTCGAACTAATCCTAGATCGGTTTTGCAGAACAAGTTTGAATACCAGATTAAAAACTTGTACCTTGTACTACGTATGTTTCTGGTATATATTATATACTGTATTATACTAATAATGAGAACATAATACAAGTAAGCTATGTGATAAAAGATAGATCGAACATCCAAATTTTTATATTATAGAAGGTATATAGTCAGTGCTTGAAATAACAAATTTTGCATAGCGAATATTCTAAAATAATGAAAATTTTTCGCACCATAATTGTGTCTGAACATATAAATTTGTCTTCTGATAAACGAATATTTCTGTATAGCGAAATCATTAGGCCAAAATATGTATTTCACTATATCGAGCTTTAACTTTATATTAATATATTATATATTGTATAACATAAGACTCTGAACTAACCCCCCCCCTCCTCAGGATATTACGTAATATCTGTCACGGTCCTAATAGTAATAGACAAATAAGATTTTCAGAGAAAATTTTTCAAAACCCAGTAGAACCCATATGCCAAATTCATGAAACATTTTGAATTTACCTTCTGTATAACATTAAAACTTATAAATATAGACCTTACCCCAACAATTTTCCTTAAATTAGAAATTCCTTAAAATAGTTACTTTTAATTAATACC